TATAGAGTAGAAGAGAAATGTGATCAAGGTCAAGGTAAAGGTCAAATAAAGGTCGCAGTGACCTGGTTTTGGTAGAGCTAGGTCAATTAGGGGCCGAGTTATAAAGTGGAAGGGAAATATAATCAAGGTCAAATAAAGGTCAAATAAAGGTTGCAGTGACCTGGTTTTGGTACGCTGCCCACCTTCTCCCCAAGATGTGTAAGTAGATCAAGTTTGGTCACGCTAGGTCAATTAGGGGCCGAGTTACAGTGGAAGGGAAATATTATCAAGGTCAAGGTAAAGGTCAAATAAGGGTCGCAGTGACCTGGTTTTGGTACGTTGCTTACCTTTTCCCCAAGATGTGAAAGTAGACCAAGTTTGGTCACGCTAGGTCAATTAGGGGTCGCGTTATAGAGCGGAAGGGAAAATCTCTGCGGCGGTGGCGGCTGTACAGACATGAAACCATAGTATCCCCGTTCGTCGCGCGGGATACAATAAGTACATAACCTTACATCCAAACGCGTATTAGATTGTCCAATATCACTGCTGGTTACTAAGAAATGTCTAATTGAAATCCGCATTCCAAGAAATCAGTTGTTTACAGTTTCAAACCGTTGCCGGCGAAACGGGCGTGATTCAGATTTATAGTGCACCGGACATTTTCGCACACATGCTCGGCCGTACGCAATGCTATCATCAGTGATTTCGTAAACACGGACGCTCGTGATAAGAAACTTTTTGTCAGGTCTGTCCATGTGCGTCCGTGATTAGTACGTGTGTTTTACTCCATTTCCATGTTTAGTCCGTGGCCGTGGTTACACCGCTGACACCTCCATTTCATCTGGCATCCAAAACATACGGGCCGCACAAATGTTTACGTCATCGCTTGACTCCTGGGGCCCGTTGTCAGAAACGAAATTAGTCTTAACATTAGCATTAACTTCCACTCGTAAACCGTTGACAGAAACATCGTAATGTTACGAGAACGAAAAATCCTCGCAAATATCCTCTTAACATTATGAGAGCCCAGACCCTCTCGTAACTTTAATATTAAGTTGAAAATAACACATTTAAACTACGAATTATAATTCTTATAGTAATATCATTTTATAATAATAAATAAAATGTGTGCTTTTCTTGAAAAACACGTCAAAATCATTAATTATCTACTGCTAATAAAACAAAACAATACATTTACAAATGGCGTATGGCATTTGTTCTCTTGTTTTAAATGTTTACCATGCTTGCCACAACTCTCGCGTCTCACGTTACAGTGTGAGAATTTGTCTTGTTGTGCAGAATAAATTACAACCGATTGACAACACTAGTCGCCGATGATCAGAAAGTAGTGTTGTCAATCGGTTGTAATTTCGTAATCGATCATCGGTTGGACCCAAGTAACTGATGATCGGTTACAATCGGTTACTCGGGGTGTTGAATGCCTGCGTGTGCGTAACGTCGTGTGCATGTACGTGTGTGCATGTATGTGCTTGTTTAGCCCTGTTTACTGTTTGTTTTGCACTGTTTACTACTATGTGTATAATACTGTTTACTACTATGTGTATAATACATGTATGTTAATAAAGGATAACTTGTATAGTAGCGATGATATCTCTGATTCTCATCACTTTTCTAAGTTTTACATTTATTTCGATTTTTTTTTCTTTGATGAAATTGATTATGGATTTTGATAACCAAGCGCTTGGTTCGAGCCACTGTTCAACCGATGATCGAGTATAATCGATGATCGTGACATCACTAAGCGCTTGGTTCGAGCCACTGTTCAACCGATGATCGAGTATAAATTATAATCGATGATCGTGACATCACTATCAGAAAGTTCCGTGCTCAGTTTGCACGGCACGGTGTACCGAACACGATAATCAGCGACAACGGCCCACAATTCAGTGCGGAGGAATTTCGCAGATTCGTGAGTGAATGGGGATTTGATCATGTGACATCATCTCCAGGCTACCCGCAAAGCAATGAGAAGGCGGAACAGGCTGTGAAGATGTCACAGCTAAACGACTCATGCACTTAGCCAAAGTTTCAAAGACTGATCCTTACCTGGCGCTTCTAGACTTCCGCAATACCCCGTCGCAGTCTATGGACAGCAGTCCAGCTCAACGGTTAAAATGAACCGTCGCACTCAAACGCCAAAGTTCTGCCAATGAAGGCAACTCTACTAAAACCACAGATTCCGAAATCTGTGTCACGTCAACTAGAGGCTATAAAGGAGAAACAGGCGCTCTATTACAATCGTGGCGCGAGAAACCTAGAACCGCTCACGGTGGGTGACACTGTTCGTATTGCGCCTTCGCAAGGACAGAAGAAGTGGAAACAAGGTACAGTACAACAAGAGGTGTCCACACGATCATACAACGTCGAAACGGAATCCGGAAGGATCTTGCGGCATAACCGACGTCATCTACGTAAATCGGCAGAGGACAAGCAGCTACGGGATGTGCAGGAGTATGAGGACATTCCGGTGACACACTCGGATACAATTCCGAGTTCTCCAATGACTGTAGATGCATCACTGCGAGCTGACAGGCCAATAATCGCAGGCAGTCCTCCCAAAAGACCGCCACCTGAGTTAAAGACATCGACACGCAGTCCAGTGTTTGTGTCGAGATGTGGCAGGAAGGTTTACAAACCTGTCAAACTTAATCTGTGAGACGTACAGTGCAATGATGAACCAATCATTATTCAAAGTAGCATCATGACAAGTTAATTCGAGTTCATTTTACTATAAAGTTGTGTTTAGATGAGTCAGACAGTTTGAAGCATTGCAAGACTGAATTAATTTAATGCACTCAAGATAAAGGGTATAGTTAACGTCTATAGGAATCGGAAGCGAGATTTTCTTGTCTAGGTCGAGACTCTCTAAATCTAATGTTTTTTTGGTTGAGTAACGATCAACGGTAATTAGTTTGAAGTTTGTTCTTTTATAAAGAAGAAAGGATGTAACAATATAATATAGCGCTCATGCGCAGCGTTGACTCTGGCTAAGTTTAGAGGATCCGACATATATATAGCCAACAATGGAACATGTCTCTTGATACGTAATAAATGCAGTTTACCGTTTAGTTTCATTCTCAATCTTATCTGCTATTCTCTCTGCATGGTTACACTCCTCGGCTAACTAAATATTGAAACATCATTGTGTATCAAAAATGAGCGTGGCGACTGGTGGGGCAAACTTCTGACTTTATCCCGCTGCCAGCAGTGCTACAAATATGTGCAATTTGGTACCAGAAATCTAACAGCAGCAGTGAAACTGAGTAATGTGAACATAACAGTAGACTTCGTTTGAGTGGAATGAGGTTTCCAACACCAACCTCAAGATTCAGGGGGATATGTGCTGGGGTTAATCTCAACACAACAAACATAAACAATGTCAATGTCAACATAACAACTAAATCAAATGTATTATAAACTAGGCCTACATGGGTCTAGTAGGCCTATTAATAGCTGGAATCAACAAGCGCAATTGCGATCACACAACGGTTATTATCTTCGATACAATCCCTTGGACATTGAAAACTAATCATTATGAGGCACGGGAACGCGTATGTTTGCAAATCGGTATGGTGAACTAGCCTAACCTCTATACTTTAGTCACTCTACTCTCTAGTACTAGTACTACTACTAGTGATTAGAGGGTCTATGTCCCCCAGGGTAGGTACTGCCGGAACGTACCCTGGTACTATCTAATAATAATATGCCGGACTGTACCTCGCCTACTCCACTAACGAGTCTAGGGAGTCGCCTATGCCTACTCCCTAATCCTAACCATATCAAATAGTTACCAGGGTACGTTTCGGCAGTACCCTGGGGGACATAGACCCTATGACTATGACTATGAGCAGTACTAGTAGTAGTACTAGTGCTGAGAGGGTCTATGTCTCCCAGGGTACTGGCGGAACGTACCCTGGGTACGGTCCGGTATACCGGAATGTACCCTGGTAGTGGTACTATCTAATATGCCGGACCGTACCTCGCCTACTCCACTAACGAGTCTAGGGAGTCAGTCGCCTACGCATACTCCCTAACCCTAACCATATCAAATAGTTACCAGGGTACGTTCCGGTATACCGGACCGTACCCAGGGTACGTTCCGGCAGTACCCCGGGGGACATAGACCCTCTCACTCTCAGCTATAGTACTACTACTAGTAGTAGTAAACCGACCAAGCTCTGCGACTGTTACACGTCGTAGGACAACGTAGTGTTCACTCGTAGACCTCTCGCCAACGTAGTGTTAAGCGAGAAGGGAACTTGTGGCTATAGTATTAGCAGGAGTAAGATAATATATTCTAATATTCTAAGATATAATATTCTATATTATCTTACTCCTGGTATTAGTAGACCTACTCAGGCTACTGACAGTACTGTTACTGTACTGTACTGTACTAAATTTTGTGCGCGAAAACGGAAAAGATAATAAATAAATCAGTAATATACTTACCTAAAATCTGTCGTAATCGTTCTTTTGAGATTTTACGTTGAAGCCCTTGCTGCATATGAAACATAGATCTATACTGTACTTCAAATTCTCCGCGCTATCTTCGGGAAAAGGACAAAATTTTTGCGGTCGCCATTCAAAATCAACAACGAATTCCATTCGCCACCTCTTGTTTGTCGGTGCATGCGCGTATAAAATAATCCCGCAGTAATGCGGCATACAGGTTTTGCTCAAGTTGATGAAACTTCGTATATTAAGGAGAAATATGTGGAGAATAAATTGCTTTCTGTAAAATTGTTCTGATTTACTTATTCCACGCACATATAATCTCGTAATATATTGTTGTTCAGAAAATAGTGGGTATGTATAAATACGCGAATCACATTTAAATTCCAGCGGCGAAGATGTTGATTGGCTGACGCCGTGTGCCGCGAAACAGAACGCGGTTTTTATTTCGACTTTTACCGACACCATCTCCTTGCAGAAATGCACTGCAGGGTCACAGCATGTGCATGACTGCTGAACTGCATATAAATCAATGTATGAAAACAATTGAAAGATTATAAAGTTATATGCATTATACCAGTATTATGAACTCGTGCAGTGTACTCTGATATCTGCATATAAGCTAGCTTATAGATAATTTCTCACAGCAAAATACATTACACTCAACAGTGCATGGACATCGCCAAGCTAGGCGTCTTCTCTAGTAGTGGCGCTGAGAGGGTCTATGTCCCCCGGGGTACTGCCGTAACGTACCCTGGGTACGGTCCGGTATACCGGAACGTACCCTGGTACCAGGGGCGGCGCCAGGGTATTTTCTTAGTAGGGGCGAAACCAGGGGCGTTTACAGGAACACGCGAAGGGACCGAAGGGGGGGTCGGCTCTCCCCCAGGAAATTTTTGAAATTAGACCCCCTCAGATGCGTTTTCTGCGCGAGTAGGGGTGGTCCGGACCCTCTGGACCCCCCCTGTACACGCCCCTGGGAACTGTAGAATCTGGGGGTAGATTCATCAAGCTGCGTACGCAAAATATTTTGCGTAAATCTTGTGTACGCAATCGACGTTGGTTAGTTGCGATTCAATCAACACATTATTTAGTAAATTTGCGTACGATTTCGCGTACGGCAGCGAGGCCGTTTTAGTGCGATTCATCAAGCTAAAATTTACGTAAACCTTTGCGTAACTTTACACGAGCGGACGAGGTGCCGTAAACCACTAGAAATTTCCGCAGGTGTTTCCAGCATACCGCAGTACATTATTTATTGAGAAAACATTATAAATTACTACTCAACTAAAAATAAATAAATAATTACATACTACACAGACCGGCGGCGCCTTTGACGCTTCTTTTGTCATAGCTTGGCATTGTTTTCGTTATAAGCGATTTCGTAGTTAGCCGTGTACGTGCACACGCACACACGTGTACGTGCACACGCACGCACTTGTACGTGCACCGCAGCGCACGTGACGTGCACACGCACGGCACGGTAGTGTACACGCACGAACGCACACGTGCAGCAAGCACGCACGTTACGTGTACACGCACGCACGCCCGTGTACGTACACACGCACGCACGCACGCACGCACGTGTACGTGCACACGCACTACGTGTACGTGCACACGCACGTACGTGTACGTGCACACATACGCACGCACGTGCACATGCACGCACGCACGCACGCACATGTACGTGCACACGCACGCACGTGTACGTACACACGCACGCACGCACATGTACGTGACACGCACGCACACAAGCACGCACGCACGTGTACGTACACACGCACGCACGCACGTGTACGTGCACACGCACGCACGCACACGTGCACAATCACGCGATGCACGTGCCATGGATGTGCGCAACGCACGCACGCCGTGTACGTACACACGCACGCACGCAGTGTACGTGCACACGCACGTACGTGTACGGTGCACACACACGCACGCACGTGCACATGCACGCACGTGTAGCGTGCACACGCGCGGCCCGTGTATGTACAAACTCACGCCACCACGCACGTGTACGTGCACACGCACGCACGCACGCACGTGTACGTGCCACACACGCTCGCACACGTGCCACACGCACGCACGCCACGTGTAAGTACACACGCACGTGTACGTGCACATGCACACGCACGGCCGTGCTCGTACACACGCTCACGCACACACGTGTACGTGACAGCGCACGCACACACGCACGCACCGCACGCACGTGTACAGTGACACGCACGCAACCACGCACGCACGCACGCACGTGTACTACACACGCACGCACGCACGTGTACGTACACACGCACGCAGCGCACGTGTACGTGCACACGCACACCACGCAACGCGCGCACGCGCACCATATAATCATTCGATTTATCACATATAACATTAGATTTATCGCATATTATTTGATTTATATCAGAAAAGAGAATCGAATGATTTCGATGCGTGAATCGAATGATTCGATGCGTGAATCGAATGATGCATCGAATGATTCGATTCACGCATCGAATGATCGCGATTCACGCCATGCAATGATGCATCGAATCATTCGATGCCGTGAATCAAATGCATTTCGATGCGTGAATCGAATGATTCGATGCGTGAATCGAATGATGCAATCAAATCATTCGATTCGCGCATCGAATCATTCGATTCACGCATCGAATGATGCATCGAATGATTCGATGCGTGAATCGAATGATTCGATGCGGTGAATCGAATCCTTCGATGCGTGAATCGAAATGATTCGATGGGTGAATCGAATGATTCGATGCGTGAATCGAATCATTCAATGCGTGAATCGAATGATGCATCGAATCTTCGATTCACGCATCGAACATTCGATTCAGGCATCGAATGATGCATCGAATCATTCGATTCACGCATCGAAGATTCGTATCCTGAAATTTATACCTTGCGCACGTTTCCGAATCTAGCGCCATCTATCAACAACTTATACAATACAGTCTACTTCCTCCACATTCTCCCACTCTCCTCTACCTCCTCCGTCTTCTCGCGCCATCCTCTCAATCCATCCTACTCAAAATACTAAGAATAGATTGTAAAATTATTATTTTTTGATATAGTTTGTGTATTGTATAAGTTGGTTGAAGGATGGCGCTAGATTCGGAAACGGGCAAGGTATAAATTTCAGGATCGAATCATTCGATGCGTGAATCGAGATGATTCGATGCGATCATTCGATGCGTGAATCGAATGATTCGATGCATCATTCGATTCACGCATCGAATGATTCGATTCACGCATCGAATCATTTGAATTCACGCATCGAATGATTCGAATTCACGCATCGAATGATCGATGCAGTCATTCGATTCGCGAATCGAAATGATTCGATGCGTGAATCGAATGATTCGATGCATCATTCGATTCACGCATCGAATCATTTCGATTCACGCATCGAATCATTCGATTCACGCATCGAATCATTCGATTCGCGCATCGAATGTGATGCACTCGAATCATTCGATGCGTGAATCGAATCATTCGATGCGTGAATCAAATGATTCGATGCGTGAATCGAATGATTCGATGCATGAATCGAATGATTCGATCCGTGAATCGAATATGCAGTCGAATCATTCGATTCACGCATCGAATGATGCCATCGAATCATTCGATTCACGCATCGAATAAATTTGAATCGAATTATGAAACAGAATACACACCCAGCACCCCACAGCATGATGTAGACAGAGCTAGAAGAGCCAATATGGCAGAGAGGCGTCAGTTTGGTTCTATCGTATGTGCGCGCACAGTGTGATTGGTTTATGCTAGGCACGCCCTTCAACAGCACAGCAGCACGATGGCGTAGTGGATTTACACTGGAATCTCAAATTTGCGTACGCAGGTGCTTAGCGCTGCGTGATGAATCGCACCTACGAGCTTTGCGTACGTACTTCGTAGAAACTCTGTATACGCATACACTTTGCGCAACGTTGATGAATCCGGCCCAGGGGCCCGCCTTAGTGCCCCTGGCGGGGTCCAGGGCAGAGCCCTGGCAGGGGTCCGGGAAAGCTCTCAGAGTTTAGGCTAATCAAAGCCCTAAAATTGCTGAGCAAAAAAATTGTGCAGGGAACCAAGGAGCAACATATACCAAGGAGATGAAACCCCGGGGGGGGGGACTCACCCCACATTATGAGTGTATCTGGTATGTGCCACTGCGAAGTTAAAAATGGGGGGGGGGTGCCTGCTGAACTAACTCAGACCTAAAATGGTTGTCTCTGAACTAATGTTTGGTGAATGTGGTATGCTCTGGAACCGGTATGTTCGAGAAATGGCGGGTCTCCGGAACTAGCTAGGATTTTCGTTCAAATCAATGCTATGAAACTGGAACGTTTAAAAGAGGGTCTCCGGAACTGTGGGGAATAGTGATTTGCTATAAAATCTATGCTGTAGCGACTTGAACAATAATTGTTGTATTATGTAGAGGAGAGAAAAACATGACCGGGGAGAGATGAAACGCACGCACACGCGCACACACACACACACACACACACACACCACACACACACCACACACACCACACACACACACACACGCGCGCGCGCGTGCGCATACACACACTAACTAAAACTAGACAGAGGCACTCACGGAAAGAGCAATACCTCCGCCAGCGACATTACGCCTTACGCCGATACGACTCACGAACACACGAATAACACGATATACGCCAGCGTACATGTATTCTCGCTCGCCGCTCAGTCAGCAGCAGCCGCGCTGTGGCTGGCTCGCTCGCTTGACGGCTAATATCGATCGCGTCACACACGCACGCACGCACGCACGCACGCACGCACGCACGCACGCACGCAGCGCACGCACTACCTTTCCGCCGGAAACAGCATCATCGACAAATGATGGTCCCACTTGGACTTCCAAGGAAATAACACCTTGATAATTCGATTATAAATTAAGCACAGGTTTTTATATGGATGAATTTCGACACTTAATTTTTCGATTTTCGATGAAAGTGGTCCAGCTTGTATCATCACTCATTTTTGGGCAATCTCCCTATTATTTGCAAGAATATTCTCTTCTTTACCTTTTCTTGCAAATGAAGGGGGGGTGACCCCCAACCCCACCCATCATTTGGCAAGACATTTGCAAGCTGTTTCTTTTCTTTTTCTTCTCTTCTTCTTCTTTTACCTTTTTCTTTTTCTTTTTCTTTTTCTTTCTTTTCTTTTTCTTNATATATATATATATATATATATATATATATATATATATATTGTCAAGAGTGAATAATAATAGATCTATATATTATTATTCACTCCTGATATGTATTCCATTCACTCCAGAATGGTTGAAAACCCTATAATGTAGCAGCTTTGTGCGCACGATCGTGATTTAGAAGTGACCCTCTTTAATAAAAATCCGCTCTCTTTATCGATATAGCCTCTATGGTAATTTATTCGTTGTCTAACACGGTACTCCCAAAACAACTAAATGTCGGCCATTGAAATGTCTTTAGCGTCATTGATTTCTCTACGTCCTTTCTCTACCTCAAACGCGCAACGAATTTCCGTTGACGTTGATTCATCAAATTGATTTTCGTGAGGTGTCTCACGTATATATGTCAGTGATTTCTAGGAGACCAGGAAGCGGATAGTCGCATTGCCCTATACTCCTATAGCTATTCGATTCGCGTAGATTCATTCTGCTCACCGTGTCCAAACCCCTTGTCGTAAGATACTACAAGTTTGGACTTTAACAATCGGGTACATTTTACAATTTTATTTTCCAACGCGGGTCTTATCTAAAGCCAAGTGCGTACATTAACATACTCGCTGACACAAGTCACGCTGTCTCATTGTCGTGGTACGAGCTGCTTTACCCCCCCCCCCCTCTCTCTGTGTCTGTTTGTCTCTTTGTCTCTCACACGCTCCCTTTTCTCTCTCTCCCTCTATCTCTTTCTCACACGCACACACACACCTATCTCTCTCTCTCTCTCTCTCTCTCTCTCTCTCTCTCTCTCTCT